TATGCTACAAGAGAAATCTAATCAACAACCTCATGAACAGGGCCTCAGCCATTCACTCACCAATGAAAGCTTGATGTTGAGATTGAGCCTATCAAAACTATCCTGTGTGATAATGGCTATCCTAATCAAATATCACTCACTGGATACAGTACAAAATTATGCAACAGCCTATGGCCATCACCTGAACAATGCCCAGTTTCTCTCCCATTGCAGTTTACCCTCTAGTACCTCAACTTTTCCATTGAAGACTATCTTCTAGTATCTCAACCTTCCCATCAAAAACTCTCTCTCTCGTACCTCAACTCTTCCACTGAAGATGATCCCTCTAGACCCTGAAGTCTCCCATCAAAGACCACCTCGTTACTCCCCTTTCTCCCTATCACAGTGAATCTAACACTCATATCCCATTTACAATGTGATTCTTTACAGTGTGCTGCTTTAGTGTGCTGTCAATATGGCACCAGCAGAGGGACAACCAGCCAAGCACAAGAAATGGGCATTGGCTTCCATGGCACAGAGGCAAAGAACTGACATGTTTCAACGAATTTGGAAAAAAAATCAAAACTGTGGGCCAGCACAGGAAAATTCAGAGATCAGAGGCAAGATCTTTGCTTTTGTGGGCACGCTAATCAAATCAGGCAAAAAAAGAGTTAATGATCTCTTGACAAGGCTGTTCCTGAAGCACACTGCTTGGGGGAGTTATGGCAGAAAGTGAGACAGAGAGAGTACTGAGGTTGGCTGGAGAATCACGGTTAGAAGCAAGAGGACATCTCCCAGGAACACTCAGCTACAGACTGAGCAAATGTTTCACTGCTGGTTACAGCATGGAGATTTCCCAGCTGCTCTGAATGACAGCTTCAGTCCTGTGCTCACAACTCGTGGCGAATGCTTGATTAACAGTTCTTGGAAAAGAAAAGGGCCCCTTACCTCGTGTTCCAAGAATCCAGGAAAAACAGCCATTAGAGATTTCAACCACAGAGTTGGATATGTGAAAATAAAAGTGCAACTCATTCCAAAGAGTACCTGCCTGGATGACATCCTTTCACTTTGTACTGCCACTCTTCACTTTGCAAAACCCCCCACCCTGTCCCCGCACTCATTTGCATGTCCATTCACCCCTTGGAATGTACAAATGGAGCTATCTTGCTTATTTCATTTGGCTGTTTTCACTCACACAGTGTTCAACCGTGACTGGTAATTGGCAAAGCATCACTGCAAATACCGGAGCTTTGTTGCGCCTTGAGTCTACCAGATGTCTAACCGTGTTCTGGCATTACTTTGCCAATTTCTTTTCTTCCATTTTCTCTTCCCCACACTGCCAACCCCTCAACAGAAGGTGCCACAGGCATCAAGACAGCCTTGTACCAACTGGGTCCGAATTCACACATAGTGATTGACTGGTAATTGGACTGCTGGGAGGGCAATCTTGACCACTATCATGACTCTTCCTCACCCCCTATCGATAACAGCCCTGGGCTGTGTTGACCCATGGTTTGGGGAACTGGTGAG